TTAAGTCGCCACCGGTGTTCTTAGAGGCATGGGCTACGACCATGTGCTGTGTGAACCAAGTAGTACAGGTCACCCAGGTGGTCCGTATCGGCTAAAAATTCTGCCTACGATGAAACAAAGCAAACGCAAAACGTATCAAGCATACCACATACATAAACACACACCTAGAAGCCGCAAGGAACGTCATGACTTCTTAGCCAAGGCTTGCGTAATGGCCATGCTGCATTACGCCATCAGCTGGATGTGGCTGTAAACAATTATGATAGGGGTTTAGCATGGAACGAAGAAAGAAAAAGCACCTACCTTGCTGCCAAAATCGAGTAATAACATTGTCCGGAAAATGACAGTAAGACGCCACCTTTCGCTCGTCGGACGAGATCCCGACGTCCCTTTCCATTCCGTTCCAATCGGTTAGTTTCCACTCTTTTCCGTTCTACCTCGACATCATAATCAAAATTTAATTACCAGGAAATGACTTACATTTGCATGTCGCAGAGCGTTCATTAACGTCAACTGCCGCTACGCCCGGTTGGCGGAAACATAGTCTCTGCCAGGTGACAATAACCTTTCCATGGCTAAATTGTGCCCATTTGCGCTACAGCCAGCAGTATCTGCAGCGGAACTGAAACATATAGTATGCAGACACTACAAAAACTATCAAGAAGTTCTCTGTATCATGCTACCAATTGGATAACGAAGCTATTTTACATAAAGTTCATACTCACGGGTAGAATCAAGATAGGGAAGTGGTTGAATATCCATGCAAATATCGTAAAGTGCTACTCTTTTCTGACAAACCTGTCCTGAAGGGGAATGTTATGGTGTGCAATGCTTTGAACCGTATGCAACAGTGCCGAGTATTGCGCGCTCTGGAAAGATCTCAGGAAGGGCAGAACTGCAGTGAACAATAAGGAATACGACTTTCTCGACAATAAAAACCGCTCATTATTATGAATTTACATATAGAACAAACTCAGTAAAATGTTGAGAAACAGCTTAGCCCGAAGTGAGAGGAGCTTCGATAACAAAAACGAATAAGATCACGTGGAACTGCATAATGAAAACATATTAATTATCTTAGGGGGCGACACTACAGTAAACAAAATTCTGTTAGGAACTTAAATTTCTTCTAAATATAGCATCACATATTACGACGGTTGATCGATACACGTTTTGATA